AAAGGCTATAGCTTTCACACTGACACTATCATGAATTGCAGCTCCACTTTCTGTACAATATCTGGATGACAGCACTTGAAACCTGGAGACACCTTTTGTCTTCCAGAAAGAAAAATGCTTCTTAAAATTAATGCTTGTGAAGTTCAACCTTCAGCTTATCATGAATTTGCCTTTCCCCCAAAGTATTTCATTATTCCTTTGTAACTACAAACATGGACATACCCAGATGAACCTACTCACAGAAGTTTGGGAAAGGACTGTTCTGAACTTTAGCTATGATTTTTTATATCCTTTCCTCAATTCAATAAACAGCTTCCTGATACACGTCCATAAAAGCCCATAAAAGACTGGTAGAAAAGTGCTGAATATACTGGAAAGCATATTTTTGTCAGTTTAAAAAGCTTTTCCTGAAAAAAAAAGTCCTACAAAGCCCAGGTGCCCTTTAAGATCTGTTACATTTAGTTTGTTGCCCTACAAAGTTTGTCATCTCAAGGGCTGAGCTTATGTTCACAAAACCTGTCAACATCAACAGCTGCTACCTTGTGTACAAAAAACTACATTCTCAGACTGAAATGAACAAATGATACCAGCAAAAAAATGACAACCTTGTTTTACAATGTAGCACTACTGGGACAAATTCTACCTTGAGTTATTCCATTCTAGATCCATAGTAATTTCATTTAACTGACCTTAGCTAAGGAGAGACCAATTTACTGAAATTAGTTGGACTTCTACCAGTTTAAATGAAAGCAGAATATTTGCAATTGAATTATGCTCAAAGAATTGGAAAAACCCAAGCCCTATAAATGAGTAACAGTTCTATTGCCAGGTTGGCTGCTCTGTTTAAAGGAACAAGCTAAGTTTTACTTCAGTAACCTACTCTTGAACAGCTGCTTCCCATTACAGCGACATTGCCATTCCTATTTCAAACCCTTTTTTGAGAATTAGATAATATAGCAAATCAACATTCTACCAGATCTGCCAAAGAAATCCACATAGCTCCACATCCCAACCACAGAACTTAAGTTGAAGCACTCCTTCCCAGCATACGAGTCATTGTGACTGCAGGACAGGATATTTGATCTCACATCTATGGAAGTACATGCTTCCAAACACCTTTGGTGGTAGACATATATTGTAAAAGTTCGGAGGAATAATACATTTCAAATGCTTGTGTCTACTTGGAGTGAGTCCTTGACTTAACTAAAAATCTTCCCTACTTTTAGTAAATGGAAAAATACCCATTTAAAAACAAGATTTCTACATCTACCTCATTTGCCCTAATGGCAACGCAGCAAATTGCAACATGGAAGATAAAGGTTTGACAGCTTAGGTCATCTCCCAGTTAACAGTGCTAGATGCACCCCCATCCATCCAACCTCATTTGCCAGGGCAACAACTGCAATACTGAGATTTGCTGGAATACAGTGTAAGCTTGTAATTAAAAAGTTACAAAAATTTTCCCCACCTCCTAAAAGAAAAAGGAATAGTTATGAGCTCTTCTCTGACTTTGAGCGACTTACTTCAGTAAAATGATATTCCGTGTCATTATGACACAAATTAAGAGGCTATCTTTAACAGCAATTCAAGCAAAACTGTCTACCATCAACATTAACAACAGTTACCCATAAATGCAAACTCATATGTTACCTGTGATGCTATAAAAGATGCTCTAAAACAATCTTCTTGGTACATCCAGAAAACACAAAGAACAGATTGTGAAAAAGGAAACTGCATCAAAGGATACTTCCATTCTACTAGACTAATGCAGGCTCTTCGTATTGGGTTGTTGAGAGATAAACAGAAAAGGGCACGGGGTGGCCGACTATTAGATGTGTTACCCTGTTTTTTGCTCTTGGCATATTGCTGGCGTTTTCTTTGGGACAGAGATCCTACAGGCTGGGCTGTGGTGGAACTCATATTTTGGGCAGCCTTTGCTTGTCTAGCAGCATCAATTGCAGCTTGCCAAGACAGAACAGTTTGCTTGGATGGTGCTGAACTGTTTGACTGAATAGCTGGTCCGTCACCAGGGAGAGGAATTCTGGTGCTACTTGCATAGTTCACCTCTGTGGGACAAAAGAAAAAAGTACTTGGTTATAATTTTTTATGCTAAAACATGTTGCAATATTTTTGACAAAAAAGTTATTTTAAGACCTCTTGGCAGTGTGATGCTTCCATTACATATACTATAGAGCACAAGTGCACACATAGATGTGACTGAACTGTAGCAAAAAAACACTCAGGAATCAGTGTTATAACTTCAAGTTCAATGCTAGCATCAAGACACAAACACTTCACATTGATTCTTTCACTTATTGCATTTTTTTTGCTGTCACCATGTTTGTCTGTTAAAACATAGTTACTCCTTAAGATCAACTCTGCTGTAGTACCTTAGCATTTACTATTTTCTCACTTTATTTTGGTTAAAAAAAAAAAAAAAAAAAGTTGTTTAAAATTCTTATGTATTGTTTAATTAGGAATAACCAACACTGGGGGAGGGGCCGGGGGGAGAGTGTCCTGTAAGCAAGTTAAATCTTGCCTTATTCTGCAATCTCAAAGAAAACTGCATGGGTACAGGTGAAAAATCCACTACTGTCTGCTGATAAACACGTTCACAAAGCACTAGTATTTTTCACACTAGAAATGACGACCGTGAAACCACTGAAAAGGGACGGGGCTTTCATTTTGCCTTTTCACAAGGATTTACAAAAACTCCATCTCTCAAATAAAAATAAAGTCCTCTTTATCCAGAGGACAGCAAAGCATCCAAACGCCACCTCCTCGCAAGGATCTTTCCTCGCGAGCTCTCTGACTAGAGCAACAGTCAGTCTCTACTCCTACATGCACCTGTAGGAAGGAGACTCCCGAGTGGAATCCAAAACTTGATGATGCCTGGGTGGGGGAAAAAAAAAAAAATATGGAGGAACGACACGAAATACGTGCCGGGAATTAGGGCTGGCATGCGGGATGACTGTGAAATGGATCTACCCAGGCAGGAGAGGAAAATAGCTCCCCAGCGATCGCTGCTCGTCAGAAAGAGGAGACCCCCAGAAGCGCACCGCGCCTTTTCCAGACGGGAGGAATCAGAGAACGGGAACGGCGGGAGAGCGGCCAAGGCGGATGGATGCGGACGA